CTCCTAATCACATTTTCTAACCATAGCGTTTGTGGGTCTTTGTTTGACATGTTCAAACAACCTTAACCAATTTTCTCTCATCTTATCTTCAATTTCGGCTACTAATTTACTTCGGTGTTCTTAATCTTGTCATTTCTCTTGTGCCCACATCCAACAAAGCATTCTCATATTTGCTACACTTATTTTGTGTTAAGTTGATGCTTCACGCGCAACATTTCGTGCCATATAAACATTGCTGGCCTTATTATCGTCCAATAAAATTTTATCTTGAGCTTTAGTTGCATACGATAATCGTACAACACACCTGGTGCACTCTCCACTTCATCCATCCAACTTGTATTCTATGATTGAGGTATCTCCATCCAATTCATCGTTCCATTGCAAGATAGATCCAAGATAGTGAAAGCATTCACTCTTTGGTACTTGTTGATCTACAATCCACACATCTAACTCATTTGAACCTCTGTTCCCAGTGAACTTGCACTCCATATACTCTGTCCTTGACCTACTTAGGCGAAGATCTTTAAATTCCAACACTTCCCGCCAAAGGTTAAGCTTTGCAATTACTCCCTCAGATTTTATGTTGTAGCAATGACAAAAAATTTATGATACTTCAAATTACCTTTAAATCTTAATTTTTGTGTACCAAAGATTTAAAAAGCCGGGGTATTTAATATTATGGAGAGCTATGAAAAATCCCTTAGGAGGGATTAAATTTACATAAGGAGATCCTCTTCGGATCTCTTCCACCAAATCCACCAAGTCCGGGGATCCGAACCATTGAAATTTGATCAAATGGCTAAAATTATTATAACTTTTAAAGTGGGCCCCTGTTTGTAGCTGTTGGATCAAATTTCAATGGTCCGGATCCTTGGACTTAGTGGATTTGGTAGAAGAGATCCGAAGAGGATCTCTTTCCTAAATTTACAACGCCAACACATCACATCACTGATAATATCATTGTTCATTCGGAGAATCGCGAATTTATTATAATATTATCTTAAAAGAGAAACAGGGAAGAAGAAAGTTGAAAAAAGCTCCCTCACTTGATTTTTCAGTGTAACCGGTACACAGGGTAATACACCACTTGTCACTATACAAATGGTGGGATATGTGTGCTAAAAAATTTATAACTTAAAAAATAAAATTTTCCACAACTTCTATTAAAACACGTGGTATACCACTTGTATATCCGTCGTAATTAAAAATTTCTCTACCCTCACCCCTCACCGGTTTGATGCCAAGTGTGACAATGCAAACTTTAATAAGGCTGTGAAAAACCACACCCTTTCAATAGGATGCTGTCTACTCAGAAAGAACTTGTTTTGTAACCTTTATCTCTGTTTCGTGCCGCCGACTACACGCAAGGAGGTACACAATGCAGGATATCAAAGAATATCTTGGTTAATGTGGAGGTTGCACTGTACTAGATGATATGCAGACAACAAGTAATGGCACTCTCCTGGACGTACGTCAATGAGGGATTTTTTGGTTCAAGAAATAAGGTGATATCGTTCACTGCAGACGTTCGTGATTTGGATATTGGGAAAGAAAGTGTAACTTGAGATTCGATTCCATTCGATTCTGATTCTGGCTAGCAAACTTTTCAAGAGAGCAAGACAAAACTCATCAAAGGCACCGACAGCCCATATTATCCACTCAACAGTTGCTGGTTTCCATGACCATAACCCTGTTTTTGCTCTTGGAATGCTCATTTTTTTAATTTACTTTTGATTTCCTCATGGCAGCCCACGTCAATACCACGATCCGAACTGCCAATTCTTCAAGTCCACTTCATAGATCATTTTTGTAACGTGTATATGTATGTATATACGAGTATCTTCTTAGACCATCTCCAACGGTCGGGCTAAAAGCCAAATATTTTAGCCCGGAAAATTTAGCTTTTAGCTCAGAAACAACTTTTCTACTCCAACCGTTTTGGTCTAAAATTTTAGCCCGGGATTATTAAAGAATGAACTTAGGCTATTTTTTTTCTTAAATTAAATTTTTAAAAAAAAATAAATATGTAGATTGTCGTAAATTAATTTTATAAACATTTGAATCTAAAAAAATTTAAATTCTGATAAATATTGAAAAATCATTAAATTTTACATCAAAGTGGAGAATAATAAGACATAAATTATTGGATAATTAATAAGACATAAATTATTGGATAATTAATAAGACATAAATTATAATTCACAAACCACAATTAATAAACTTAATTAATAAAGCACATAATTAATAAACTTAATTAATAAAGCACATAATTCATACACTACATAAACTTAACAATCATATCCACCATCTTCACTTGGTGATGGACTTCGTTGAAATGTTGGGATATAGGGTTCAAAAGATTCATCATCTTGAAATATACTCCTTGAGGCAGACTTTCGCATAATTTCCTTTTGCTTACCACGTAAGAACTTCTTCCTCTCTGGAGTGTATTTGCTGAGGTCCTTCATCATGAATTCAATTTCAAACCTATTTTCCTCCCTATCCGAGATTTCCTTCATTTGCAAACGCATTCGGGCCGCTTCTTCTTGGCGAGCGCTATGAGTTTCGTTCAATTTTGCCATTCCGGTATCAAAGTGTCCACTCATCAGATCTTGGGAGTTCCCTTTTCTCTTTGATTCCTTTTGCTTATCTCTTCCTGGGGGCCTTGCAAAAGAAGGAGATGAGGTCATTTCATCGACACCTTCATCAACACCTTCATCTCCGGCATTTGTCTGTGCAGCTTCACGTTGAAATAATCTTCCCCATTGTTGGTCTGCATCGGTTCCCCACCTCGGACAATCCTTGAGGATGTTCCAAGCATGTTGCAACTTAAAAACTTGATTTTTTGGTGTTACTCTTGTCTTGTAAATTTCCATTGTTTTGTCACCCTATGCAAAAAATACATAAAAATAATTAGTTGCAACATAATATTATGTACATGACAAATAAAATATCAAGAACAAAACTCACAATTTCTATGGCGCTCCTCCCACTAGCCATGCCAACCACGGCTCTCTCCAAGCTTCCCTTCCATAAAGTGCATGCTTTGTTGATAGTCTTCCACCGATCATAAACACCACCACCATCCCGCCTGCTACCATTGCAGTTTTCTTGAAACTTTGCAATGATTTTATCCCACAAAACCTTCTTATTTTGATTAGTGCCAACTGCACCATCTTCGCTAACAGAAACCCATGCCAAGCATAGAGCAACATCTTCCTCACAAGTCCAATTACGACCTCTAATATGCTCTCTTGCCATGTTGAACAATTTGGAAATGGAAAGAAATGGTAGAAAGATAAATTGGAAGAATTGTAAGAGAAATTTGAGTTTTGTGTGGATGTTTGAACAAATACATAGGTATTTATAGAGTTTTTGAGTGAATTTTGAGTTAAATAGTTTTTTTTAATTATTTTAACCGTTAGATTTAAATTTGGGCCGTTAGATCTTTTTTTTTACCGTTAGATTTGATTATATTTGATCTCAGCCGTTGGATTCAATGTATTTTAAAATAACATATTTTAAAAAATCAAATTTGAATCTGGACCGTTGGATCAACCAACGGTCCTTGAAACACAACCGTTGGATTGCAAAAATAGCCGTTGGAGTTCATCTGGGTGGCCGACAACCCGCTGACAGCGGGGCCCACCCTGTCGGACACGGAGTGCAAGTGCTCCGCGTGGGGCGCGTTTGCGAGTGAGCGGGCCGAGACTGGCCTTTGGGCCAGCGAGTCCAGTCGCGCGGGGGGGGGGGGGTGGAATCTAGGGGGTATTTGGCCCAACTTTAACATTTGGCATTTAGCCCTAATATTTTAGCATGGGTTGGAGATGGTTTGGGGGGAAAATTTGGGGGAAATTTGGCATTTAACCCATTGTTGGAGATGGTCTTAAGGGGATCACTTCACTATTCTTGGTGTGGGAAAACTAGCGTCCTCGTATTGAGTGTTTTGTGACCACTTGTTGATCATATGGCACTCCTATGCAATGTTAAAAATAAAAATTGTCAATAATTCTTAAGAAACTTTTCACCACTCCGCATAGTAATACTTGTCAATAATTCTACATATATGCAATGTTACGTTATTTAAAATAAAATAAAAATTTTCTCTAAAGTTGTATGGGCCAATGATTTATTTATCATAGATGCCATTTATTTGAGTCTCTAGGTGTAATAACTCATCAACATGGTGTTTAGTGAACACATAAACACCTTCTTGTTGAAGCCAACGTGTTTCTAGCTTCTCAAACATGTTTACACCTTCTTAGCATGAAACTTTTGCATTAAAGAGAGAACTATATACATAGATGCACCAACTATTCGAGACTAGGTGCATCTTTTCTTCCGTTTACATTTTAGAATTGACATACTCCACCTGAGCATTTTTATATCTACACAATTCCATTAAGAATAACCGAGTCAAAAAATTATCCTTTATAAGTAAACCTCTATTAAGTAATAACTTTCATATAGTTACATTCAGTATATATTATGTTCCATAATAGGGATCCCTTTTCCTATCACCAAAGGGATCACACTGTCGGAGGACCTCATTCAAAAATCATCTTTTACAAATTACAAGCATGGTTTTTTTTAGACAATTTGAATCGTTGTAATTCAATGCAGACTCGGAACAAGGTATTCCTTTCAATTATTCATCAAGAAAACCTTATAAATCTTCTCTTAATTATCAAATACAACAAAAATTTTCTTACTGTAACCTGAACACGAGTAGTACACTACGTGTTTTTATAGAAGTTGTGGGAAATTTTATTTTTTAAGTTATTAACTTTTTAACCCACATCCCAGTATTTGTATAATGACACGTGATGTACCACCCCATGTACCACCCGTATACCGGTCACATTGAAAAAATCTCTCCAAATACAACTTATATAAATCTCCAGTTTTGCTATTTTCTGCTCTCTTCTTGATTTTTTGGATGATATTCCAAGAGAACTTCGATCGACAATATTAACAGATCCAGGCCTTGATCATGATGATGAGTTGCAGCAGATATATTTGATTGGAAAGAGATGTTGATTAATTAAAGTTATACAAACGCGCGCAGAGAAATCAAAGAAGAAGAAGAAAGCAAGAAAGAAGCAGCAGCTAGTCCATGCATGCATATGTTATAATAATATTAAGGTGGACAAGACAACTATCTACGAATTAAGTAGATCGTGAAAAAATAACAGTTAATTAATCTGACCACCTTTACCGGAGCTTAAAGGTGGTTTATTATGATTCTTCGGCCGTGCTCTTGCTATGCTTGTTGGTACTCTTGTTGCTGACCTTGCAGCAGCCATCACTATAACCGCCTCTTCCTGCATTAAATTAATTTAATTAACTACAATAATAATAAAATAGTAATAAGAAGATTTGGGGAGGGAGAGAGAGAGAGACAGTGTGTACAGTGAATTTCATTTCTCTTTCGGTGTGTGGATCCCGGTGAGGGTGAGGATGAGGGTGAGGGTGGTGGTGGTGGTTTTGATCATCAGTGACAGCGGATCCGCCGGAGTGGTAGTCATGATGATCGTCATGCAGTCCTAGGCACTTGAGGAAAGCCTTGATGGCGTGCTCAAACAGAGAGCAGGGGCTGTAGTAAAAACGGTGTCGTGCTTGTTCTCCTTGACGCTCCTCCTCCTCCTCCTCCTCCTCCTCAGCTTGCGAGCTCATTTCCGTGTTATGATCAGTTGCTTATGTTTCCTTCCTTCCTCCTCCCCCTCCTCTTCTTAGTCGTCTTCTTCTTTTGGCTTTTGATCGGTGCAGTTATTTGAGCTGACGCCTTGGGTTTCCGAGATGCAGATCGCAAGAGACACCTGCCACTTTGTGTTTTAATGCTAACATTGACAGTCTTTTAACTTGTATATATCCGTTGGAGAGGTTGTCTTCCTTTCAATTGGGCGATTTTGGACTTTTTATTTTTTTAATTTATTATTGTTGAGCAAAAATCGTACATAATATGTAAACAAATAATTCAATCGACACTATTTCACCCTCGTTCATTTTTTCGAAGAGGGTTTTATTAATTTGAGTTCGACCCATTCTAAACTATGCGTCTATTTATTACAATTATTCGTTAAAAAGGAAAAACCCTTTGATTCCAGTATGAATAATTCGTAACTTGGAGATTTGGGTGTTTATTTGATTTTGCGACTACACCGAGGTCGAGCCCTAGATTGCCTACGTATCCTCGTTGAGGGATCAAGACACTCGTAGTTCCTTATGTATTTGTTGGGGTTTGATGTCTTGTGCAATTTCAACTCATGTAGGCAAGGAGCATTTGATGCCTTGTGCAGTTTAGGCTCTTGTAAGCAAGGACTTTGAGTCACTTGGAGCTTTTGATGCCTTGTGTAGTTTTAGCTTGTGAGGGCGAGGACTTTGAGCCATTGGAGCTGGACGCCATCTTCGTGCCATTTGAGACTTAATTTGGCTTCACGCCATTTGAGATTTTCTGTCGGCTTCATGCCATTTGAGATTTGATACGGCTTCATGGCATTTGAGATTTTCCTTCGGCTTCGTGCTATTTGAATTTGGAGCGACTTTGTGTTGTCCAGCCCTATTTTTATTCACGAAGTCCAAAAAAGTATAAAGTTCACGTGAATAAAGAATTGTTGTTTTACTTCATTCTCACATGGAGCAACATCCCCTATAAAATTAGGAACTTTGTTGCGTGAGCAATAGCCATTAATTGGAAATCTAGGAACTGTGCTTTGCATACTTCTCTTTTACTCTTTGTAGAATTTGTAATTACTTGGTCAAAGTAGGCAGGAAAAAAGGTAGGCCCATCTTTCCTTCTGAGTGAGTTTCCCAATTAATTTGGGAAGTTTGACAACAAGCTTTTTCCTTTTCTGTGGACTTGGGATAGCTTGAACTCTTTCAGGTCCAAATAGGACTTCATGTGCCGAAAAGAAGACCATATTCACAATTTTTCATTACTTTCGATGTGATAAAAGCCTTTTTTGTAGTTTTAACGGGAATTTGACCCATTGATTTAATGTGGAGTGAGTTTCGCCAAGTGTTAAACGTGGTGTGATTTCTCCGTTTTGAGATGGCAAGTTCATCGAGCTTTGTACTTTGAGATTGCTTATGTCCATGGTATTTGAAGTGATTTACATCCTCCACGAATTCGATATCGGCATCGTCCTCACACATGATGTGCCTCCATGTTTACTTGCACCATCTCCTGTCAACGGTGCCCATGCTTATAAGGTCCACGTCAGTTGCATTCCACGTTTTAGAGGAGCTTTTATTTTCCTCCCTTGATGCAGCCTTCGGCGTATTTGAAACTCCACAAGTTTGACTTATGAATCAGATTTGATTTGGATTTGTAGACTTGTATTCAGACTTGGCAAAATAAGATGCCAATTGGATTTATTTTTGCTGACTCTAGGTAGTTGATTATGCTTTTTTTTTGTTTACCCCTTTTGTCTGCAACACAACATCAAACAAGAGAAATAAATAATTTAACAGAACTTGTTTCATACCTGGTGATGAATGTTCTTCTTTGGATCTTGACTCGAAAGCACGAACAGTTGAACTCCTTGTTCTCTTTTCTGTAGAGTATCTCTTCCTTTTTTTGTGTCTACTTCTTACTGCAGCTGATGCCTATTTATAGACATCCTAGGAGGGCTCTATAGTTTTTACATGGGGGAGATGGAGGCCATGTCTTCCACCACTTTCTCTTAACCACTCTCACCAACTGTCCATTTTTCCACGTTCTTTTGTTGCAGAAAAAAGGGCAGCCCCTGTTTTGCATGTTAATTCCCCCTTTCGTAGGAAGAAATACATATTTTCTCTCTTTTTATTTACTTATTTATTTATTTATGAATGTTGATTTGTATGTAAAGCCCGTCTTTACCTTATGGGCCAGATTATTTTTTTTTTGTTTTGTCTTATAGCTTGATCCAATTTGTTTGAACTTTATTTTTTTATATATTATATTTGTTTTGTTGTTCAACAATTATTATCAAGTATTATAATAATTTAGAAGATGAGGAATTTCAAGCTTAGGACGAATAAGTAGAAATTCAACACTATATATATTAGAATATTGGACCACGTTCAATTTTTTAACTCTTTTGATATATATATGAACAAACGATATTCTCTACACTAAAGGAAGGGGTGCGCTTAGCCTCACAATGGACTAGCAATATTACGGTTCAAATCCCCCTTCGGTGAGATTCGAACCTAAAACATCTTATTTACAAGTGAAAAGGAATATTATTAAACTGTAATACTAAGTTGCGACTCTTTTGATATGTTATGTATGTCTCCGATTCTTCTTCTTTTTGAAGGAATGTTAATTAGCTACTTTCTCTTTCTCCCTTCGTCATTTATTATCCCACAATGTGATCTCATAATCATGATTGCCTATTTTAATAAATCCTCTCTACAAAAAGGTCAGTTAGTTTTTTTTTTTTTTTTTTTTGTGATAAAAGAAAGATTATTGAAAAAATTAAAAGAAAGATTATTAGAATAGGTAAGAGAGGGGTGTGTATGGAAAGAGTGTTTGAGGTGAATAGAATGTAAAGAATTGAAACAAAATAAGGTAAGAGAGAATGGAAGGGTGAAAAGGATGTGAGAAATGGTGTAGAAATGCCTTGGGTTTAGGAAAAAAATTAATTAATTAATTTTAAATTCGGTCTTAAAAAAAAATCTAACTTAGCATAATTGAACGGGCTGGCTGATTAGCCATATGGCTAGATTTTGGCCTAGTGTTCCCAAGGTTTTTTGGCCCAAACCTCAACCGGAGATGGGCTTTGTGTCTAAAAGGGCTATCCCTTGGCTTATGGCCCTATAGCCGGCCTGGTTGGAGATGGCCTTAGCCAGCCTACCAACTCGTTTGAGGGGGCCATTATGTTAACATCCAACGGCTAATCTCATCTACCTATTTGTTTTTTGTTTTTTGTTTTTTTAGGAAGAAATTTAATTTTAAAAAAAATTCTTTTCTTATAAATACCTAAACCATTTCTACACTATTTATCACATCCTTTTCACAATTCCATATAGACTTGGCAATTTCTTACACGACCCGTTCACACGATAAGTAAACGACATGAAAATAATGGGTTTCAGTTCAACATGATAACTAATTGGGTTAACGGGTCCTTAATATGTTTACACGAGGGTGACAAGCTAGTAACCCACTTTAACATTTTAAGAAAAAAGTTATATTGATGATTTTAATTTTTTAAACTCCTAAAACAACTTATATAAGTATATATTGTATATTAAATATGTATTATTATATTATTATTATTCTATATAATTGTAAAAAAAATTAAGTTTTATTTGTTTATTTATTTTATAGTATACTATAGGCAAAGAGTGAGATTAAAAAATTATAAAGCACATTAAAAACAAAAATATCAAGTAATTTTGAAATACCAAACCCATTAAAAAATTATAATAATTAATTTATAAGTGCGAAGCAAACGCTTATGATCAAATTTTCTACACTTTGAGGATGGCTACATCGTGGTTTGAATTTTAAAACCATACAAACCCTCATGAATTGACACACCATGACCGGAGACGAGGCATGCCGACTGACACCCGAAGGTGACGTAGCCAAAAGGAAAGTGATGTATAAAATACCGTTAAATTTAAACCAAAGCTAGAATTTATTTAAACTAATAAAGAGAATGCACAATAGTGGGAAGAACATATAATACATAAGTAGTCAAAGCATGGATGACAATACGAAGACATAAGTAGAGCAGTCGAAGCTAGTTAAGATATTTATTACACAAAAAGAAATAAATTCCTACATTTACTTAGGATAATGTCAGAATTGCCAAAGATCCCCTCGTACACCACAGAGGATTCAACTAACTAAGTCATGCAAGGGCGAAAAACAAAAAGTGTGAGTGGGCAAAAACAATGGTTTATATGTACACACAAACACACACACACACACAAACAAATGCCCACTCACTGATACGTAGTCATATTGTAGCCTCTTAGCCTTGCTTGACCTCATACTTCCTCAGGATAATTCTCTTCTATTTGTGAAATAACTATAGTAATTAATTAATTAAAACATAAACGAAAAAGGTTAGAAAAATCCCCTATAATTTGCTCAAATGGAGGGTTTAAATATACGAAAACATTCTACGCAACGTCACAAACTGATACGTGTTAACCACGTACCGCCACAAAGCAGCATGCGCCCTTGCATGCCTCCACGCGCCACCAGCTTGCGGCCACACGCAAGTCACTCGTCTTCACGTACTAGTAGGTCGCTAGGGAATATTCCATTAGAATTGACGAAATATTCCGTTAAGTCTAACAGCGTTACCTTAACGGCGTCAGTTACGGTGTGAGAATATTATGTCAACTTTAATGGAATATTGTCCTTCTTCCTCAGTTCTCTGGTTGCCGTCGCCACCGCCTGGTTCGCCGGAACCTGGAAAAGTTGGTCGGATTTTTGTAAAAACTTTAAAACTTCATAACTTTCTCATTTCTCAATCATTTTCGACGTACTTTATATGGATATGAAGCTTGGGAAGAAAAGAACAAGTTTGTACATTTTGAAAGTCCAAAAAGTGGACGATTGAAAATGGCTCGAAAGTCTAGGCCCTAATTACAATGTCCCAAAACCTTGTGTCTACGAGTTGGCTTGACTTTAAACTTAGGCTAGGGACCTCGGGAAGTTGTGTAGTTACTTCTAAACCTTCCAAAACCTTGGAACTCGAATGGAAAGTCATTGGAGAACTATGCTTCGAGTTAGAGTTCCAAGTTGAGAACTCAAAACTCGTTCATTTTCTAATCGGCTCATACGGATGGACTCGTGGGGATGAATGGAATACAATGGTGGTGGTTTAAAGTCTGATCTATGAT